TTAAAATTTATACCGATTGAAATATGACATATGTCAACCTTTACTGAGCTCAAATTTAACTATATGATAATTTTTTTTTAATTACGCAAAAAAAAAAGATTATTTACTTACTAAAATTTAATCATACAATACGTAATAAAAATTTAAATAAGAGGTTTCGATTAATTATGCAAAAAAAAAAAAGATTATTTGCTTGATCAAATTTAATCATACGATACGATACATAATAAAAAAAAATTAGATTTTAAATAAGAGGTTACGATTAATTATGCAAAAAAAAAAGTTTATTTACTTGCTCAAATTTAATCATACAATACGATACGTAATAAAAAAAAATTAGACTTTAAATAAGAGGTTACGATTAATTAATTAGTAAAGTTTGAGAATCATAGCATTTTATAGTATTTTTATTAATAAAATTATATAAAATATTAAGATTCTCAAAATTTTACTAATTGATTATAACTTTATGCTTTAACTAACCTTATTCAGCATACAAAAATGCATCATTTTATGTAAAAAAAATTTGACTTTAAATAAGAGATTTCAATAAATTTTTTTATTTCTTTATTTTTTTTCACATTGATATGGCTTCCAATAATTCAACGGCTTTTTCATTTTTATCACTTGAAACATTTGAAAAAATTGTCACCAATTATATGAGTAATCAAAAGAATGAAAGACATATAATAAATCGTTCAAAATATGACTGTTGTGTAGTACTTTTACGAAATCCTGCAAGTACTCATGAAAATGCAAACTTTAAATATTGGGTTCTCTATACATTTAGACTAGTTATAGTTGGAGCTATCAAAGAACTTAATCTTAAATCAGAAACTTATAATTGTGGTACACAAGTCTGCCCTATAGAGGACTTATATGCTGTAATTTGTCAGGCTCATCAAGATACGGAACATGGTGGGCAGGAAAAAACATGGCTAAAAGTAAATTTTAAATATTCAATTAAAAATCTTTTTATACTTAAGTATTATATACTTACATATTACATGTACATATAAATAGATTCAGCAAAGGTACTGCTTTATACCTCAAACAATTGTAGAAAATGCTGTTAAGCAATGCAATGTATGTATTACACGACATGCAACAAAACAAATGCCTGCTATGAAGCCTATTATTGCTGAAAAATTTCTTGCTTATGTTCAAGTAAGATTTATATTTATACATAATTGACTTTTTTAATATATTAATAATTAACATTAAAAAAATTAATATTAAGATCGATATGATAAATATGACAGCAATACCTGATAATGAGTTTAAATACATCATACATATTAGAGACCACTTTACTAGATACTCAGTTGCAGAACCTGCAATATCAAAATCTGCAGAAGAAGCAGC